CAAAACAATGTTTCAAAGGGCTTTTTTTGCTTGATGGTTATCGGTTCCCTGCTTTGAGAACCAAAATGACGATCAGAAAACAGCTGATCATCGGGTTTCAAAATGGCCGCCCGCTGTGCAAAAGGGCTCCCCGCTGTGTTTAGGAGGGCTTTTTCGCTTTACAGGCATTGGAAAATGGCCGCCCTATGGAGGATCTTCGCTGGACGATGAGGTATTTCACCCATTAGAACGCATTAACTGGTTTTTAATGCATTCTAATGGGTTTTATACTTTTGCTTGATGATGATTTTGTTGTACAGCGATTTTGCTGGAACAGATTATCGTCGTCAAGCGAGGCACCACTGTAAAACCAAAGATTGGGTTATCAAGGACCAACTGATAGAACAGGTCAAAAAAATTCAAATATCTGGGAATTACGTTTTCCCACTCCTTCTCCTGGTCCTGCCACAAACAGCAGTACAGGTGGCCAATAACACAAGTAAACTACTTAGACGATTTCATTATCGGGTGGGGAGTTGATACCTGCGGCCCTAGATTATCTTCAGGGTGGGGAGTTGATACCTCTGGCCCTAGAGATAGTCAAGTATAAAATCCTTGCGCAGTTGTTGTATGGCATCTGTTTGGATTAAGGGTTTCAACCCCTCCATTGAAAGCATTTTATCAAATACATTGTGATCCTTATTCGCCATGCCAAGATGTGCCTCTTCAGCCGGTCTGTGGCTCGAAGCTGGTATGCCCTCAGTAGAATGTCAAGAGTGACTACATGCTATTGGCTAAAGGTGGTCCATGCCCCAATAACCTGTGGCTACCTATATTATTTGCTGAAATATGTCTTTGCCAGCTCATGGCATAAGGGATTTACAGAAAAACTACATGTTTTAGGCTTCTCTATGGATTTCCTACTGAGACAGCCTCAAGGTAAAATTAAACCAATACTTATACAACATATCAAAATATAGAGCTCCAATACTCTCTAGCTTGTGCAGATAGGACTTGCTCACCCCTGTGTTTTGGCCTAAATTTTAACTTCCCCAAGCCAGCTAACTACTTATACCAAATTACAGCAATGAGATATTGCTTTGCCTTTTCAAGGGGTAGGTTTAATTGCTTTCCCTCAGCCCTTTTTAAGAGGGTGTTTTAATAACACCCCATAGGGCGAAAGGATTTGTCCCTGTGGGAAAGAAATTACTGAGACCTTGGTGTGCGTCATTTTAGAATGTAGCCTATCTAGGATTGAACACATTCGATATCTTGGTTCGCTTATGACTAAATGTACTTGGTCTACCTCCCACAAGCTATTTGACATTCCTGTTGTCTGGAGAGAATCAAATACTGTAATTACACAGTTAGTGGCTAAGTTTTTATTTTTAGCTATAAGAATGCGCAAAATGCTATAGCAAGATTCTATATTATATTATGTATTTATTTTATCTATTTTACTTTTGTATGAACGGGTCTATAACTGCACAATAAAACTTACTTACTTACTATTACAGGGATGAAAATATTCTCCCTCCGTCAGCAAAATGGAACAGCCTCTCTATTTACTTATACTAGAACATAATGAAGAAAATTCACTGGACACTACGTAACAATACTTAATTAAATAGTAGCTTGACCATATCCATGATTACTTCATTTAGCAGGCTATTTTTATTTACTTCCATTTTGGTTTATTTGGTAACTGTTTTAATGTTCTTTAGTTATAATAAATGATCTCTTGGCTTTAATCCTCTTGCTTAGTGTAGTAAGTTGCAACTAGAAATGCGTACTGTATTTGAATCAATGGGACTTAGCTGGGAACAGTTTCTACTTACTATGATAAGCAACAGGATTCCAGCTACTGCGCATCTTTCTGTGGAAGACTGCAGTATGTATTTAAATAAAATACCCGAATTAATATTGTTATAGAATTATTCCTTGAGTGAGGTACCCCATTACCTACATGGTTTTCTTAAGTGCTCAACAAATATCTTTCAATTCTACTAGACTTTTAACTGCCAAAACAATATTGTTGTTGTTGTTATATTGCACTTATTTCTCAGCACTGCTGGAGCAGAGGTGAACCAAAAGGTCAGGCCTAAAAATTAAGAGTCAAGTCCTTCGAATTTTCGAGTGAAACGGACATGTTTGCAAATGCACTGATTTTTAATTTTAAAAATCAAACTAGCAGCCATTAGAATCTGTTTTAAATTGGTAAACAAATAGTTTAGACTAGAGATGTACGTATTCGCATTTGTCTACAAATATCTCCCCACAGGTGCAGATAACAAGGGCCCAGCCCCCTGGGGGCCAGAGTGACCCCTCACAATTCCGCCGCTGTCATGAGCTCCGCGGAGCCTTCCTCTCTCTCCGTAGCTCGCGATCGGTAAACAAATAGTTTAGGCTAGAGATGTACGTATTCGTATTTGTCTACAAATATCACCCCACACGTGCAGATAATGAGGGCCCAGCTCCCTGGGGGCCAGATTGACCCCTCACAATTCGGACGCTGTCATGAGCTCCGCAGAGCCTTCCTCTCTCTCCGTAGCTCGCGATGGATTAGCCATTCTGCAACCTGGCAGGGAGGCTTATCATCCTGCCTTCTGCCAGGATTGGCTAAACATAAAACCTATGTTTCCTACGATTTATATTGAGATTTTCATGAATGCCAGTTATTTATAAATTTTCTACTCCTCTAAGCATTGCATAAACTGTTCATTAGCAAGTTCATAGTTACTGCCCTCTGAGAATTTGCCTCTTTTCATGTGGAAAATAGCACATTTATCAGCATCAAAGTTCACTTTGATATTTGTACTGCAAGACTCAAGGAGGTTTAACCAAAATTCATTTTCTCAGAAGAGCTTGCAAACAACTTAATATCATTCATATACGTGAAGCGTGAAACATCAAGGCCCTTTTCCTGGTAATTAAGTTTGTAGCCTGCAGTGCTGTCACTGAGTTGTCTAGTTAGGGGATTTAAAGCCAAGGCAGGATGACAACAAACTTAATACACAACATGAAAAATATATCTTCTAATAAGAATATTATTGGAGAGGAGGTCTCTGCACCTTAATTTTGTCCTTTACCTTATTATGAGTTTCTATTATCAATTTTGTAGATCCTCAACATTTCAAGAAGCCATGAATGGGACATAGAATTCGATCAAATTGAATCTACTATTTCTATTTCTCCTGCAATTGTTTTTCAAACTGCTTTTATAGTTAACTGCAGTTCTAGTGTTTCACTCTGATTTATACCCTGCTCTAAAACACCCACCCTAGAAACGTTTAATTAAAAGTTATTATTAAAATGTTTTAAATAAAATACCCCTTGGCATTACAAGAGATATTATGAATGCTGTAATATACACCAGTTGTAGAAATATTGTTGTAAATGGATTTCCTAATTAATACAGACTTCTTGGAAACAGGTAATGAGGAAAACTGGAGGAACATTAAGTGTCAGCAACTGTTATTCTAATCCTGAAAAGAAATGGCAACAAACCTCAAACAGCTTCAAAGAAGCAAAAAATTTAGCATTCTCTGTAATATTCTTTAGTCTCTTCCTCTCATAAGCTGATAACTCCTTGGATTCTTCCTCCTTCAACAAAGAAAACAAATTATTAAGTAAAGTACTCACAAGAGTAAAGTCTCAATATCTGAAGCAATGCTTTAAGCATGCTATTTTAAAATATAATTCTTTCAGTAAGTAACACACACTTTCAACACTTGCTTTAATAGATACCTTCCAGTCAACATGGAAAAGGCAGCGGTCTGAGAAATTCCTGTCTCTGGGGGACTCTTCCACTTTAGTAGCTCTTGACTACTTTAAAGCCAAACCAGTTGTGAAGCAAAGAATGTGGGACATGGAATTACAAGACCACTTAAAACTTGTTTACTAAAATATTGTGTTCTTGGTGAAAAGACATTTATGCCTTCTACAGTGGTGCCCCGCTAGACGATGACCTCGGATAATGACGAAGCCCCATGACGATGACTTTTTGCAATTACTATAGTGTGTCGCAAAACAGTCTTTCCTATGGGTGATTTTCGATGGACGATGTTTCGGTCTGTGCTTCGCAATACAGGTATTTTTTCCGGGACCGATGCTTCACAAGACAACAATTTTCACAGATAGGTCCGCAACTCACAAAACGGGTGTTTTCGGGACCAATGCTTCGCAAGACAGCGATTCTAACAGCTGATCGGCGCTTCGCAAAATGGCCTCTCTATGGCAGATTTTCGCAAAATAACAACTATTTTCCCCATTGGAACACATTAAAAGCATTTCAATGCATTCCAATGGGGAAACGCTTTTCACAAGACGATGTTTTCACAAGACAGCTATTTCAATTGAACGGATTAATATCGTCTTGCGGGGCACCACTGTACTTTCCTGGTTAATTTATCATTTCCCAAGTTTAGAAAAGACTTAACTTCAGCTCACTTTAATGCTTTACATTCTGTGGTCCCAGAGGAGAGAAATGGATTACCCCATGCAGGAATTTTAAGTATCTCTGGAACCATGAAGACATAGAAACTGCTGGATATGTCCTATAATACCGCTCCTTCTACCGTCGTCAAGAGTTCCTTTTATCCATTCATCTAAAATTCCCAGAAGAATTTTATTTCATTTCTCCATTTGGATCAGGGCCAACAGTTAAGATCACCAATGAAGTGACCAGATTTTGTGCAGCTGTCACAAATTGCTAACACCGTGATTTTAAACATTTACGAGATACCTGCCATGCAAGCCTCTGTACAATGGGCGAAGCCTTGCTTATGCAGCTCCACATGTGAAAAGCTAAAGAAACTAAACTTTTAAATGAAGTTTCCGATTCCACTTCTTCCCTCCTCAGGTTTTGAGGATCCCGAACCATCCCGGTAGCAGAACCAGCGGTGGGGATTCAGAGGTATTAAAGGCTCTCTTTCCCATTCTCTACGCTGAAAAGGATCCCTAGGGATCCTTGAAATCTGAGAGGGAGAGAATAGGGAACTTTTCATTCAAGATTAGAGTCCATGGCTGACAACATCAGCAGGCTTACATGCGAATCAGGCTACTATAGTATGTGCTGCTTTGAACACTATATACACTATATACTGAATATTTCTGTGCCGTTCCGTATTGCACTATCTACTACTGTATTGGCTTTTGACTATAAGGCATGCATGTGTGTACGTATGCAACACTTACATCGTTTGTATCACTCTCCAGATCCTCGTCGCTCTCCAAATCACCACTGCTGGCTGCTACAACTGAAGCAGGTACATGAGATTCCTTGTCAGCTGCTACTACCACACCTGGGCTAGGAGAAACCTCCGACACAACCGCACTGATCTGGGGGCTTGAAGGATGGTTACAGGCTTTCTTGACTTTGCTATCTGCAGCTGGGGACTCTTCAGAGCTAGAAAATTGTTCTAGCAGACGTTTTTGAGGCAACACACGCCTTGTGCGTTCACTCTTTTTGGAAGGCAGACGCTTGAGAAGAACTCTTGCTTGTTTTATCGAAGTCTTGCTTTTCACAGGGCCTTCTGGAAGACATGTCTTTGGTTTTTCTTTTGGTGTTTTTTCTTCCTTAAATGTAAGAAAAATATAGTAACATAGCATTATGCACTGTTTTTCTACAGGAAACATCGTTTTGCTCTAGCAATCGCAAAAAGATGTTTCTTGCGGGAGACTTTCATTTGAAGTTGATTAGGTCCTTGCTTTGCGAACCGTTTGTTCGCAAAACAACAATTTTTCTGGCTCTGCAAAATTGCTTCCCTTAGCAAAATGGATGGCTTCCCTTCACAAAATGGGTGTTTTCCGGACAGAAGCTTCACAAGACAGCGATTTAAAACAGCTGATTGGTGGTTCTGTATGGGAGATCTTCACTGGACAATGAGGTATTTCCCCATTGGAATGCATTCCAATGGGGATTTTTTCACATGATGACGATTTCACTGTACAGCGATTTTCCTGGAACGGATTATCGTCGTCATGCGGGGCACTACTGTATTTTATCTGGTCATTCCAGCCATGCCTGGAGGAATCAAGACTGTAGTCCTAACTCCTTCACAAGGGTGATCGTCTCATTGAACACATTAGGACTTGCTTCCTAAGACATCTTATTCAACAACATGTCAAATTAATACTGTCATTAATGCAAGTAGGTTTGTATTTTCCTCCTCCTTGAAGTTAGTTTTCTGAAAAAATTCTATAAAACCTTCTGGTTCCTCAAATCTAGCATAAGCTGGTTTAGTCCTGACAGCATGTAAGCATTTGAACTGAAATATACAATAGGACAATTAGGCTACTAGACTGAGACTTTGGGAAATTTGGACTCTCTGTCTTAGCCTCAGTTCCCCCACCGGGATCTTGTCTGCATTCCAGATTTTAAACAGATCAGTGAATCACATATAATGCAAAATGGAAGTATTAGTATTATCCAGTGGTCCGAGATCCAAGGGTTGTGGGGAAAATGCACAGTGGCCAAAACCAGAAATGAGACACTGCTATTGGAAGTGGGAAAAGATTAATCAGTTTTGTTTTTTAACTGGAACTGCACAGCCCAAAGTTTGTAATGTGGTACAAGTTTGGGTTATTATGTGTGGCTTATTTTGCACACATTTGCAAATCAATAAAACACATAGGTACTGTACTCTCACACAATCTCATAACTTTAGTTCTGCTTTAATAATATAACGCCTTTCCTGGCTTGCAGTCTGTATCCAGTCTGTTACCAAAGTCCGATGCCCGGCATCCCCGTAAAGCGTCGCAAACCAGCCCGGGACACCTTTTCGGATTTGTGCGGGATGTCCCCATTCCCCTCTCCTTAAGACAACCTCGACCCGAGGGGGGGGTTTGGTCCTCCCAGGCCAACATCCCCGGGAAAACCTGCGCCTCGACGCGAATGCATCAACGGTGCCTTTGTGCGCATGCAGAGTGCATTTCCGCTTGTTTGCAGCAGGTCTGCCCACGCGGGGCGCCAGAAACCCCGACGTGGGCGCACCGCCGCTCTCTGCTCGTCCCTCGCGTGAACTCGCAGGCGCAAAGCACCGCGCGGGGGAGCCCCAGCCGAATGCATCTGCCTTTGTGCGCATGCAGAGTGCATTTCCGCTTGTTTGCAGCAGGTCTGCCCACGCGGGGCGCCAGAAACCCCGACGTGGGCGCACCGCCGCTCTCTGCTCGTGCCCGCCCCGCGCTCGCAGGCGCAAAGCACCGCGCGGGGGAGCCCCAGCCAGGCGGGTCGCCGAGCGAGGGGGCGCAGCCAGAAACCCCAACCTGGAGCCAACACTGTGCGCGTCGCGGTGCGTCGGAAAGGGGACGAGCGCGGCAGCCTCTCTCACCTCCTGCCCCGGGTGGCTCAGCGCCGCTTCTTCGGCCTTCCGCGGCTTCCCGCCCCGCGCCTGCTCCGCTTCCATGCCGGTCCTC